ATAACTTTGTACTATTTTACAAGGTACTCCTTAACTTGATAACAGTAGCTATCATCATGATTTCAAAGAACTCGTCTATTTCAAACCTTATGAAAAAGACCTTAAGTAATTCTTTGAGCTTATGAATTATAAAGATCCACGCACACACATTAAAGAAAGCTCATTTTCAAACAATCCTACATAATGAGCTAAGGTAGGTATAAAGTATTCAAAAAAGTTTCTTCAAATAAAATTAAAAAAATTTAAAGTGTTAGAAAACAAAATCTGGCTTAAATTTGAAGGTCTAAACTCAATAACGGTTCAAATTTTGATGAAATCCTTGAAGTTGAAACCTAAGTAAGTCAAGAAATGGACCAATTAATTCCATAACTACCATAATTAATTTGTAATAAGTATTTGATAAATTGATAGAGTTGTTGAATTGCCTCCAGTAAACTGGGCAAAAGGACGGCAGCTCAAAGGCTCAAAGCTCATTAGTTTTTTTTTTTTTTTTTTTTTTTTTTTTTTTTTTTTTTGAGTGGTGGTGAATGAATTTGGCGGCTAGAGTGAGCCCGATATAATCACTCATTGGTTCATGCTACTTTGGAATTTCAAGATTGATTTCACATATATCATGCACAAACATTAAATATAGTAATTAAAAGTGATTTGATATGTATTAATACTTTCTTTAACTAAATTGCCCTAGTTATTTTAAATGGATGTCCTATTTATATATAACTATTACTCTGTATAAGCTTGATATAATAACAAAATACAAGAACTCCACACGCTAAAAGCGTAAAGGTATATATTTCGTAATTTTTTATTTATCCATTTTTACAGAACAATCTTAGTGAAAATGAGGGATTAGATTTTTTTTTTACAAGGAATATTTTTTCTTCTAAAAAAAAAATAAAAAAAAATAAAAACTACCCTAAAAGTTAAAACTACCCCAAAGAGTTTAATATGGATAGCGCTACCGATTATCAATTTCAATCCAATATTTACCTTGTATGCGGTAAGCCACATTTACCATGTAATGTAATTTTTCTTAGAACGAATTAGAATAAGGTGAATTATTTGGGCTCGAGCTAGTTATACAACCATATCTAAATGATGGAAAGACTTGCGTGGACCTGGTCCACAATAATGTTATTGTGGACCTGGTCCACAATAATGTTATTGTGGACCCGATATTTATACACACACAACTAACATTATATTGAACATAGTGACCCTTAGTTTTGACATAGTAACCTTTATTAAAACTAATATAACGTTTAATATTATTGTGAACTTAAAGTACAACGTTATGACCCTAATGTTAACTATTGACCTTTATTATTCATATTAACCAGTATATAAAATATTTCGTTAAAAAAATTAACCTCTTATAGTCTATATATTACCAAAATGACTTTTATTTCAACATAGAGACCTTTTTTCAATTATAGTGACCTTTTTTTTTAACTAATAAAACAAACATAGTTTCTCAAATGTTAGTGGTCCACAATAAATTAGTGTGAACCAGGTCCATTTAAGAGTTTATTCCTAATTGATCATCCTAAAGTTTATCCCACTGTGACTCCTCAAATGAATTAAAGTTATTATTCAAATGAATTTATTGGGTTTGTTTGGTATAGTCGTGGTTGTTTTTTTTTTAAAATAAAAAAAAGAATCATATGATACATGTCATATTATGAATTAAAAATTAGTCAAACTTAATAAAATAATAATAATTTTAAAACTGACTATAGAAAAGTAAAAACGCGCTAACTGACTGAGTAATCCAAAATAAATAACTCTTGATCGATTGAATAACCTCTAAATAAGCAACTCGACGAAAACACGCTAACTGACTAAGTAATCTCAGAATAATAAATAAAAAATGACTCTTGACCGACTGAGTAACCTCTAAATAAACAACTGAATGAGTAACCTAGCTACACAGAAAAAGCACAGCTGTGTAAAAGATTTATAAATTTAGAAGTACTTAAATAGTTAAACTTAAACTCCAATGATTTTGTTTACATGACATTGATATACTTACTACTAGTTCAATTCAGAGAGATCATATCATAAATTTAATTCCGATCCCACCAATACTCTATTCTTTTGCCAATATTCTAAAAGGATTTAATGTGATTTTTTTTTTTTTTTAAATTTTTATTATGTGAAACTTTATTCTTCTTTGATTGGGAATTTATGTAGTACTCCGTATCAAAAAGAACAGAGGAAATACGAAGTAACTAGAAAGCTGATAGCTTCAAAAATAGTAAATTGTAAATATTCCACTCTTAAAAGTCATGAAACACCGAATTATTGTAAATTTGCCAGAATTTCACTACTACTGCTATATTATAGATTTGTAGGTCGCTCTCGATCTTTTCAATGATTAATACTCAATGCCAACTTTTAATTGATATGCATATCTTAGGTCTCTATAACTCTATATGGTATAAACAAACTATGGGGCAAACATAAACTTTTGGATTTAAAGGTAGAATGATTGATTATTATTTTTCTTTATTTTAAAAACCAAATAGTTTATTCCCTATAGATAATGATACATATATAATAATTCCATAGACTTTTATACTCGCAACTCACAATATATCTACAACTCCCGTGTGAAAGTGAGAGTGAGGTATAATTGTTAGAGTTTCCCTCACGATTCCAATAAATACTCCTAGAATCAATTCTCATCATCATTTGACTTTGTGGTTGTCTCAACACCAAAAAAATAAAAACAAAAAATCCGTACAAAAGTTTGCAATAACAGCAAATACACAAAACACAACCGATAAGATTGGAAAACAAATGCTTTGATTTGATGCAATAATTTTGGGAAGATCGCCTTACAATTGGTGGAGAAGCGCTTAATTCAAACCAAAATTGTACTGTTTGTAATGAACATCAATATTATTGGGCCATAATACTCTCTCTGTCCATAAATTTTTGCACTTACAAAAGTATGGGTCAAACTTTAAAATCTTTGATTATAAATTAGTTTTACAGTCCTAATCTATAGAAAATAATTTAGTCGTATGGAATCTTGTTAGATTTCACTCATTGTATATTTTATTAGTATCTAGTTTTTGTATTTTCTACACATATAGGGGGGGGGGGGTCAAATCCTCTATCCCACTTTTATATCCCATTCTATGTACCATTTAATTTTATTGGTCCATGTCATTTTAACTACGTATATATTTTTTTTGATTCAATTTTTATACTAATTATATTATTAGCAAATAAAATTAAATATAATTTACATAATTTATATTCTAGTCCTTACCTTTTTTTTTTAAATGTATACAATTATGTTAAATTCAACGCTATTAATTTTTTTAACTCGTCTTGAACACCGTAAAAAAATCCAATGGAGCAAAAAAAAATTAGTGACGGAGGTAGTATAAAATATTGTAAATCCATTATTTTTGTGTTCAATATCCTCTCTTTGATTTTCTCCTACTTTTAATAATGAATGACTAATGAGTACTCTAAGACGCATCCCTTTCTTTGGGCTAAAATTAGTTATAGTCTAAGCTCATTATTTTATATGGTCCAAACGTCCAATTAAATCTTTTGATTTAAGTAGCTAGCTCAGAAAATCAAAAACACCGAATTATGTAATTGCCAATAATCTTAATTATATAAAGCGGCTTGTAGCATTCACACAGTATAAGAGATGAATATGATTAGTGGTATATCTATATCCTATCTATACCTACCTCTAGACCTCTAGCTAGTTCCATAAATATCTTCATTTATGACTTTGTAGAATTATGATCATTACTTATTAGAGAGGGACACATTAATTGTTTGTCAAGGGTTAGCACTTTTACTTTTGAAAGTGTTTCCATAGTCGTTTTTGACTAAAGTAAGTGTGAGAGTAGTGGTACAAATGTCAAATTCTATTGCTAATCGGTTATCAATTATCATATTTGTTCATTTGCACAGAATTGCTAATTTGTAAGGAATCATAGTGGCATTAATAAGCAAAAAATGCTGTAGTAGATAGAGATGATGTTGATCTAAGTTGGTCTCCCCAATTGCAAAAGTTATAAAAATGTAAGGTATAGTCGATTGTATAATGCATGGGTTGAATGAAAGGGAGGAGGACTATTATAGTATTTCTTTAATCAAAACCGCAAAAATTATCTCGTAATTAATTGTACCGTTATAATTTTACATATTTACTTAATTCTAGAGGATATGGATCCATTTGAGCTTACATTTATGTTGTGTACGTATTAAGGATTCATAAAGTTAAAATTTTTCTATTTGCACTTTTAACTTGATATTTTAATGTTAATATTGCACATGTTTTAATAACCCTATGTTGCTTAAAAAAGTCTTTGATATAGTATATTTGGGTAGACCGATGAGCAAACGGTAAGTCTAGCGTAGGGCTTCAAATGAATTACTTAGCTTGTGATCTACGAAGTTATTTACTCACAACGTGGACTAAACCATACCCACTTGTAAATAAACCCCTACTTTATTAAATTAGAAAAAAAACAGATCTCTAGAGTCTTGTTCAACATCATTTTTTTTTTAAATTTTCTATTGTTATTTTTTAAAACTAAACCAAAAATAGAATAAGTATAGTTTTATTTTTCTATTGTTAGATTTTATTAAAAGAATATGACATATATCATACGACTTATAACAAGATAAAAAAAAAAAAAAAAAAAAAAAGCCTAAAAAATATCGTGATACTAAACGAGCCCTAATAATTTTACTTCACTCATGGCATAGAATCCTTGGTAACTATTAGACACTACCTCCATCACTTTCAATTTTAGTTTCAAAATTTGGCATGAGATAAAATGAGCCATTTTCCGACCTGGAAAATCTCGTTGCGTCACTTTCAGCCCATTTGTGGATAACTTCAGCCAACTAAAATACTGCGCCGAGAAAACAAAGTGTCATCACTGTCACGTAATAATATCAGTTTTACTACGTATCAACATTATTAATCCTAGAAATTCACTACTTTTTTATTTTTTTTATTTTTTTTGCAATAATCATCCACATGCCACTTCTTAAATCCTTGAAAGGTAAGAAAATTGACCACGGAATATCAAAAATATTTACGGCTAAAGAAATCGATAAAATCACGCTTTATATTCAAATACAACTGTTTCAGTCGCTGCCATAGATTCATTATTAAGCTCTTACAAAACGATCATAATATACTTCCTCATATTGAATGTCAATCGAATACAGAGTACAACCTTATGTTTCAATATAATAATCAAATATGAAGTACATCGAGTTAATAGGAATGAAAATAGCTATTAGTAATATTTAGAAATTACTGAAACAAAACCAGCAAGTTCCCCCCCAGACCACAACTTTGCCCCCTTTGATCTGGAAATGATGCAAACAAGTTTGGACAAATGGATTATATATTATCGCATAAATTCACTTTATAATTATTATAGATTTAAATCATATAAATAATGTATTTATAATTACTTCTGAAAGACAGGAGAACTCTTAAGCACAGACCGAGATAGCTATAATGAACTGATTGCATACCTTCAAGAAAGAGAAGGGGGAGGAGGGGGTTGAAAATGAAGAAGAAACCACCTTTTGCACTACAAATCGAATTGAAGTTGCAAAAGCTGATCATCAACAACTGGTCAATTGTCACCGCTGTCGCCTAGTATAGCCTTAAGAGTCAGGAGAGCTCACAGCAGGAAGTCGTGAAAGATCATAACAGCATCATCTAGCTTCATTAAAGACGAGTCCAGCAGAATCCTCACATTTCGCAGACGCATTCTCCTCTCCTTCACCTCTGGTGAGGGATTTTCTATGCTCAAGTTTTGGATCTGGAGAAGCAAATAAAAATATGGACAAGCAAAATAAAAATCTGTTCAGTAGTGACATCACTGACATGACTATCTTGATAAACAAAGAAGCAACACGAAAACAAAGAGCACATAAATATATGGCATGTAACGATATTTGACTTTACAAAATTTACTTGGGAATAATCTCAAATTAGTCAATCAGCCATCCAGGTGCATTATTGCAGGAATTAAGGCCTTCTGTGAGTTATTATTGAGCAATGGTAACAAAACAGTTATTTTTGAGGAGTTGCTTGGGGAGCTAAAATATTACTGTGTAGGACGAGGAGGGGGGGGGGGGGGGTCTACAGAGGGGCCAAGACTGGTAGGGCAATAATCAAAGTACGATAAGTGAACAAAAAACAACATTACATCTTATCAGCCCAGCAGAATGCTAGGTAAAATCATTACACTACCTCTCGCTCTTGATCGACTTCATAAGCATATCGTAAACATAGATTAAGTGCAGCATGGTACAGCTCATCCAAAATTTGATGCCAAAGATTGCCTTTCTTCACACTCCACAAAAAGAAGTCTGCCTGTCTTGGACCTCCAGTAGTTACTTTCTGCAAAAAATATATGTTGAGGCATGAGCGCATGACTTACAGCCTACAGATATCCTGAGCATTAAGCTGCTTTACACACACACACACACAAAGTCATTACACCCAAAATTAAACAAAAAAAAAAAGGTTAGAATACCACAGCCCCCGAGCCATACCATTAGAATATGAAATGAAAAAAATGCATCTACATTAGGTAACACGTACCAATATCTAATTATGTGGAATATATACATCAATAAATTCCTTTAGTAGGCAAAAAAGATCATCCAAAGGGGTCCCAGATCTAACCAAGGAGATCGATATTAAACTGATTACTTTTCTAGTATAAGAAGCTAATCTTTGTAACATATTCAATAATAAGAATAAATTAGACTTTTCACCTGAAGACTTTTGTGGCACACAAATTAACAGAAAAATAACTATTGTTTTATGGAGTCTTTATTATATACTGACAGAGAGGAAGTGTTTGATTGTGAGCATGAGTTGTTTCTTGAATACACCAGTAAGGTGATGGGAAGGAGGGAAATGAAAAGGAAGTAAGGAGGAAGAAAGGAAAAAGAAGAAAATCGATGGCCAATGCCAGATAATAAAGTAGATGGCCAGATTCTGGCATTAGGTACCTTCTTGCATAAATCAAATATCATACTAATAGTTTTGTGCCACTTTTAAAACAAAAGTTTGTCTTGCAACAAGTGATAGTTATAAGATTGTTTCCGACAGATTTCCCTAAATAGCAAGTAATAAAGGCCTTCAGTAATGCAACTGTAGGATATCATAGACCATTTGTTGGAAACAAACACAAAGATCCAGAGCAGTCCTTTAGCTACACTATTTTGCTTTTATATCATCAAATATTCATCAAGAACAACTGCATAAAGAAATAATCAGACGAAAATCATTCATATATGAAAGACAACCAAGATGAAAATCAAATGAAAATGAGGGTACCTCCATTAGTATGTAATTATCCTTCCAAAGCTTATACAAAGTCTGTGGTGTATTTTTCTTATCCACAAAGGTTCGTTCTGAAATCTGCACGAACAGGTAAAAACTAAGCAAATGTATCAAAAATGACAAGCCCAGAATTCAAGCAACGATAAATTTATGCCCAAATCTAATTTCATGTGATGACAAGAATTTTGAAATGAAGTTGGCCTAGCTTGTAATTTATCTCAGAAACATAAGGTCTCTATTCATTTCTATCAACAAAATCAGTCAACGACAAATCCTCAATTCTATACATAAATCCCAGAAACTATTAAAATCAAGAGCCACTTCAGTCTTTGTCACTCCAAAGACTAAACCAGATCTAACCACTTGGCACAAGCTGATTAAAAAGCTGGACTAAACTCTATTCCTCATCTTGTATTTACCTAAAAATTGAAGTCCAGTCTGACCAGTATGGTAAAAGTGCTGCCTAAATCACAGCCAAATATGCCCATAATTTCCAAAAGCATATTCTATAGAAGTTTACTTTCCACTTGAAGCAATTAAGCTTGGGCAGATAGTTTAATACTTTAATGGCCAAACAGACCAACATATTACCAAAGTCCCTATGTTTCACTCTGACTTCCCTAACATTCCTAGAATCCTAGTTGATATAACAACAAAACCAACAGGAGAAAAAATAAAAAATAAAAATAAAAAAGAGGGGGGGGGGGTCTTGGATTAGGTAATTTACAGGTTTTGATTTTAATGAGCAATGGTCACACACTTGCATGTGGGAATTATTTAAGATAGGAAATTCACAGACAATTGCAGGACACTTGAAAAGTTAATATAAGGCAACAAAATGAAATTCTTTAGCACAATGGAAAACACAACAAAATTAAAAATGGAAAAGGGACAAAAATCTCATAGCCATAACTTCTTTCCAAAAGCTTTCATGTACAAAAAAATGTAGTTACACCATTTTCAGTCTTGAAAGTGAAGAATATATAATATAATATGATAAATTAAAAATCGTATTATATCAAGCTAATAAACTAATTTCAGCTTATAATATCAGACAGACTATTCTCTGGATTCATACTGGGGATAGAAATGATGTTCAATTCTACCTTTAGCATAGAAAGAAAACATAATTTGAGTTTTTTAGAAACAGATAGCACAAACTACACTTTAACCACTAATTACCTTATCAGTATCCAGTGGACGACCATTTGTTAGCGACCTGAATATTCTAAAAGCTTCTATTCCATACCGCTTTTTCACAATACACTCCACCTGTTCAAATATTGATTCAGAACTATATAAATATATTCATGTTCTGAATAAAGCTTCTAAACGAAACCTATCTGTAGAAAGGCAAGCCAGCTGACCTCTTCTAACTGAGCTTTCTTAATTATGTCTTTCATATCTGCAAAAAATACACTTTAATATTCAAGTATGGAATTATTGCACAAATGCCTTCAAGTATTTAGAATAAAGGGATGGAAAAGAGAAAGTGTACATACAGAAGAATACTTACTAATTGTGTACACATCGTTTGTTTCAGAACAAAAGTCAAGTTGTTCAAGAGAATATCGAAGATGCTCCATAGTGAGACCTTCTTTGCTCTTAATAACCTCTTCAAAAATTGAATCAAGAGACAATGACACTAACAAACCAACAGAAAATAGGATAAGGGGGAATTATAACTGAAAAAAAAATACAATGAAAAAGGAAAAAAAAAAACCCTAATGTCAGACAACCAAAAAAAAAACCCATATAGCTATCTACAGAGGAAAAATAGGAAGCTAATTGTAGAAATACAAGATAGTACATAAGCATCTACAATAACAATATGTAGCAAACCCACCCACCCACCCCCACACACAAAAAAAAAAAAAAAAAAAAAAAAAAAAAAAAAAAAAAAAGCTTCACTGATAGAGATTTACAGGCAAACACCAACAGTTTGATTAAAAGCAAAATATGTACTTGGCAATCTATTCAGGTAACATACATCCTCATTGAGGAACGAGTATTCTTCCATTATATATTAGACATTGGTAAAAATAGCAAACAGTCACATAAAGGTCTAGGCTGCGAAGACCCTTTTTGGGGATTCAGAGAAGGGAGATCTCAATCCATGAGAAAAAATCAGTGACGTTCATCAGGTTTCACAAGAAACAACTAACAGAAACAATGTTGATCTTGGAAAACTAAAAAGAAGTCAAGATGTATGCAACCTCACCCACCCCCCACCCCCTCCACTGATCAATTCTAGCAGAGATTGCTTCAAAAGACTCACAGTCAACCAGACATTTCAGAAAGTAGAAAGTAGTATACATTTGTTAGATAAAGGAAAAGCCACAGGCCATAGCATCAAGTAAGCATAAAGAATAACAACCTTCACCAAAATAGCATTGGCAATCCTTTGGATCAAATTCTAGCACGTAATTCTCAACAACAATAACAGCAACAACAACAACCACAAAACCTAAGTCCAAGAATGATTTGGGGTCGGCTAACATATATCTTCAGCAGGGGAAAAAATTATGCAAGAAGTTGCAACAGACTTCGGCAATTTCGACTTTAAAAGCAGACAAGGCGGCCAATAACACACAGTTAACAATCAAGTCCATGACTAAGAGCATCTAGCTGGCTACTAATTTCTTGGAAAAAGAAAATCAAGAAGTAATGTGTCTTTGTTTTGCTGACCAAAATGCTTCTGGCTATTCTAAGCATCAATTTATTCAGAAAAGGGGGGGACAAATACTTTCAGCCTTTTTCAGCAAAAGAACTAGATCTATATTGTAGGATGATTACCTGAACTAACTGTATGCTTAGCCCCTTCCAACATGGATTTCAAAATCACAGCTGCAACATTGTCATACTCTGCTCTGACATGCTCAACGCAAGCCTGGAGTAGAACGAACAAGGAAAAGTGAGTTTCAAGAAGCATACATGCAAGTGAAGTCAAATACTATCATTACTATCCCGGTATTCAATGTTGTACACAAGAAGGCAACAACATCACCATTCAAGTTTATATGCAACTTTACCTAGAAACTAATCAAGAGTACAAGAGCAGTGAATTTCTACTTCACCTGAGGCAATAGAAAAAATAGAAAATAGAATAGGACAAAAGAAAACACCTTTATCTTCAGGCAATTTATAAATTCATCAAAATTCACTCGCCATACTGGTTCTTTCTTGCCCCCCATAGTATCAAGCTCACTATCCCAATCCAGACTATCTTGCTTCCGCTGCAAAAGTAATGATGCATCAGTTTATGTTAACTGCAGTAATTAACCAAATACAAATAAATCAACCTTCTCTCCAACTTTCAGGCCCGAAATTTTACTCTCGATTTTTTCTTCATCAGAATCTACGCCTTGGTCATATGAGATGGAAAATCTTTCAGCATCCATGGGAATTGCAGCAGCCAAAGCACGTTCTTCCAGGGTCACTTCTTTCATAAAAACCTGTTATAAAGACATTAGAAAGTCACTCAAGGACACTGTTCAAAAGCAACCTGTCAAAAAGGGGAAAGGAAATAATTTTATAAATACAACTTAACGTCCTTAGACTAAGCTACGAGGATTTTCCAACATAACCTTGTCTTGAACAATCACATATGAAATAAGAGGGCAAACACATTGGATACCAATGCTGACAAGTACAATGTGGAAGTATGAGAGCGTCCTAAATAAAGTTAATACTTCGTATAAGATAACAAAATTTTTGAGACTGCTTAAACCCACCCAAAAAAAAAAGAAGCAAAAATTTGATTATAATTATGATGACAGCATAAAGTCGAAATTGCGTAAGAGAAACCAAACCCCTTCATAAAGTCCTGTTCAGTCAATAAACTCTCTTCAGTCAATAAGCTTGAAGCAGCTATAATTAGCTAATTTACTACCACTGCCTCCACTATCCAGAATTCCAGATTTGTGAACATAGAATTATACAATATTTTACTAGTTTAATCATGTATTGTAACAATGATCTCAAGTTTACGATGTACACAACTGCAATTGCAGAAAATAAAAGGAAAGAAGATGATTATATTGATAAGATGAGAATTACAGTAATTCGAATGATAATTCTACTTTCAAGAGGTGGATGCTCTCCTAATATGAACTTTCGAAAGGCTCACTCTCTCCCAATACAAACCACTCAACATTCAACATATCCTTATTCCTCCTAATGTCCTATTTATAGAAAGTCCCTCCTAACAAACCTCTAGCTTATTCCCCAAATTACTACTAATAGACTATGACTAACAAGCCCTTTCCCCAAATATTGATTCCTTGCACAGCATCAACATAACTATAGAAGCATGAATATCAGTATATACAACAATAGGCCATATATTGTCTTTCAAAATCAAATGCACAAAACAGTATTATAATCAAACCAGATAGGATTTTGTACTCAAAATTCCAGTTAAAGAATGACAAAGTCATGTGCACATTCGAGTCAAAAGGAGCATTAATAACAAATGAGAAATCAAATTGCAGTAAGAGAGAATAAAAAGGGGAAATAACTGCCGCAAAAATGTTTCTTGAGGATGCTACCTTATTTCTGCCACCTCCTTTCTTAGCAGGAGTGTCTCCCTCATTTGGTAAAGATATTAAAGGCTCTGGAGCAGGGCATCGTTCCACAAAACGACAACGAACAAGTTTAGTGAAGCTTTCTTGGTGAGTATCACTACTTCCTGATCCAAAACAAGAAGAGAATAAATGAAATTCCATTCACTAACATTGCAGTAATATACGTTCAAGTACTAGCATTTAAAAGTAATAGAGCTCATGACTCCTAATTTTCAGACTACATTGATGAGTATGATTCACATTTTTAATCATATCCCTTTTAGACAGAACTACGTTCTATTTACAAGGTCCTATCCTTTTGCAGCTGTCGACATGCACATAAATTAACATGTAGCATAAAAGTTAAAATTCAAAAAACTCGCATCAATTTCTCATAATTCTATTGCATTGAAAAATCAACAAAAAAAAAAAACCATGCACAACTTGCCTTCACTTGAACTAGCCAATGCTCTATCTAAAATTTGTGTGAGAGTAAGTCTGCCATGCTGCAGCAACCCCTCAAGAATATCTGAACCCTACAAGAATTGGTGTGCCGTGCGCTTTGGTCAATAAGCTTGCACAAAGCACAGCAAGAATCAAATAAAAGTGAAACATATAGTACAAAGTCACTGACTTTTGTATCCTGTTCTTTTGAGACTATACTCATGAACTTTGGAAACCTCAAACGATGAATGATGTTGTTGAACAATGCCATGTACTGAGTCACTACCACTGTAGTATCCTTGCCACCACCTAGAAACATCAAATACACAATAGCAACCAACGTAAATAACATGGAAGATGGTGATAGGCAACATTTACAAAAATAAAATACAGCCAAAAGACAGAAACAAACACAGAGAACTAAAGTGAGTACTTAATGCTAGGATTCCAAAAAATTTGCATAAAATCCCCAAATAGTGGATCAATTGATTAAAGTTCTCTGCTATATTATTCTATAAGAAACATTATGAAACAAGTAATTATTAGATGAGTAGCATAATAACAGAGTACTAAGAAAAAAGGTGGATAGCATCAAGAATTCTATAGCACATGTTTGCACTAATTGGGATCATCTTGATTCGGCTATATTCAAGTTCTCTCTCTGGAAAGTCGCTCATTTGACACACAAATATCCTTCTACATAATTTCCCAAATCCCTCTCTCAAAGAGTAAATCATCCTCTAATTCAAATCCAATCACCTTTCCTCGTCACTGCCCCAGTCAAGAGATCATCTGGTCAGCTCAATGACTTTGTTGGCAAAAATGGTGATTATAGTTCACCTTACACGCACATCTTCCTGCAATTATACCTTGATCTGATGCTATGTATTAAGGAACAAGTCCTCTCAATTCTGTAAGCTGGCAACAAAATCTAGTTACCGAAAAATCACATCTAGTTTCCAACAAAACTATTGCCCATTCGCCCCAAACAGCACAAAACAAAAACCGATACAATGCATCAAATCCTTTTACAATTCATATCAACAATACAATCATAATAACACCTAATCAATCATCAACCTCGACGAAATAAACCCCTTCTATAACATTAATCCAAAGTACACTTCAAAATCAAATATTATAACAACAACACAGCAATGTAATATCCCATTCAGTCATACTCAATTTTTAATTCAAGCATTGCAATTACACAAAACAATACGATAAAACTTGATAAATTGTAAGGTATATTATAAATTGGCATCAAATAATTGAATTTAAAAAATAAAAAAAATCAAACCTTCTTGTTCAAGAGCAAAGGCTTGAACGCAATTATGCTGAATTAAAACCCATAAACATTTCTTAACTTTATCTTGAGGAAGTTCAGTAAATCGAGAAATTAGCGCTTTACTTAGGGTTCCTCTTCTGAGTAAACATTCGCAAATTTTCTGTTCAAATCAAAAATCATCAAAAACATAATTACAATTAATGGTTAATTACACAGATAATTAATTATATTAAAAAAAATTGAACAAATTTGTTGATGAAAGAGGAGAGAGAAAGAGAGTGTACAGAAACAAGGTTTCCGAAGTCGGTGGTGATGATGTGGACGGCGAGTTTGATGCCGAACGGAGTTAGCGCCGCCATTGATGACGGTGGTTGTTTCGGTGGTTTTAGTGTCAGTTGTTTTTGGAGTTTTTAAGGTTTAAGAAACGAGGGAGAATTGGGGTATTAGAAGGGTGAGTTTTCGGTAAGAGTTTTAAGATTGATTTATAATGTAAATATTTAGATTTTGAAACAACAATGGGTCCATAGCTCAGTGGTAGAGCATTTGACTGCAGATCAAGAGGTCACCGGTTCGAACCCGGTTGGGCCCTTTTTATGTTTTTTTTTTTTATGTAATTATACGCCAATCAGACTCGACACAACCAATCTCGACTCAATTACCTAAATTGACGACTTATTATGAGTACAATATAATCATAGTTGAACAACACATTATGCCAATGTCATCAAGAATTCAAGATTACAATTTCCTAATGTTCGTATGTTTACTTTAGTCCACAGTTTAATCTGTCTTCTTCGAGTTTATGCAGGGCTAGTGATGTTATTTAGCATTCAAGTCATGGATTTCATCTCCATGGTCAGATTTAGTTTGTTACTAGACTGTTGATTGTTAGTATTAGGAAAAGATAAAATAGTATATCTTTCCCTAATAGTTAGAGTTAGTAATGCTACTAAAGAAGTTTTCTCTTATGCTCAATTAGGTTAATTCGTCTGACTATATAGACAAGAGTAACTTCTTGGTTGAAGACTCATTTTACAACTATCTGCTACATGGTTGTGTACCCTATACAACATGAACGTGTGATATACATGGCCATGTACCTTATGGCTTATGCTACAAAGTCACATGACTTTGTATACAAATGTATCTACACGGTGTATCCTACTCTACACAATTGAGTGCATTAAATTAGATATTATTTGAAATAGCTAGTTACTAGGACACAACATAAACTGATAGATGCAGTGGTTTGGATATATTTGTTCATTGTATTGGAATATTATAAATACAAATGAGGATCTCTTCATTGATACAACTTTTGATATGAACCATAAACACATAAAAATAAACTTACCCTTTGAGATCTGAATAGTTCGTGTAGAAATTAAATTTCATTATTTGAGTTTTGGCAATTTACGGAATTAGTTGCGTTAACATTGGGGTGTGCATCATTTGGAAACATGTACTTGTGGTGGAGAATTTTCTCTTCTAATGTTGTAGATTCTATTCCTCTGCACCACTACATTATTGAGATTGCTAATCTAGTATATTTGCCTTCATCCTAGGTTATTTCTTCAAATCAAATGGTAATTTTACCAACATTATTGATCTGATAATGTCAATATGTTAAAGATACCTTTGAAATTGAATTGTTAAGAATTAGTGATGGTTAATTGGACGGAAATCTCTACTAAGGAAAAATTAGCCTCATGGTGTGCATTATTGATAATATCAATATGTTAAAGAGTTCCTTTGAAATTCAATCATAAATGGTACATGACATGGGTAGTAGCAAATTAAAGCACATTCTAAAAAAGAACTACGCGACCTCTTCAATTTGTTCTAATTTAAAATGGATGAATTATATATATACCAAGATTATTTGGCCCTTGACAATAAAATTCTATACTTAAATAATAATTACAAAATTTTGTAGAAACTAACTTCCCAAATACCTCTTTTATTACTCCTCTGTTATTCCTAATATAACTTTCTCCTAGCTGAGAGTGACAACTAGAGCACTATTGAAAGTATAGATTAAGCATTCGAAACAATTAATCCTATCGTCCATTCGAATGATTTTGTGCACATTTGATCATTGATTGTACTATTACAAATGATTTTGTTCCGTTAATCTTATGCCTCATGATGCTGGCAATTAAAATGGAAGGTACGCGTACAATATTTTTTATCACAATCGATAATCATTTTACACTAGCAGCGAAAGTCAAATTAACTAATACAACATCTACCTACTTAAAAATCAAACTCTTGTAATTAAAAGAGAACCGAGAAAGTAGTATAATTAACTTAAAAATAAAACTTTCACTCCATGTATATAACAATACATTAATACATGCCACCAAAGGCAATGGTACAACAATATCTATGTATAACAGTATAAGTCATCCAACAAACTACTATGATTTATTTATTTCTTACATAAAAAGTAACAAAATTGACGCCTTCTAAAGAAACACCAAAAATATAATGATATTGCATGAAACTTTATTTTTTAGTATATGAAAGCACATAACGAAGTATCCGTAATATTTTCTTGCACTTTGGGCTAGAAAATGAGGTGATCGACAAAAAATTAGTAATAAGGTGGCGAAGCTGAAGCTGGAGTTGGAGCTGGAGCGTCAACAGGTTCATCATTAAACTCGATGTAAGAAGAAGGAGATCCAATTGGTACATCAGCAGCAGCACCCAACTCAAGAGAACTAATTGGAGCACCCAAGAAATTTGTGGCTGATATTGGCCCTGGTGTTACTATGCCTGAGCTCTTGATTTCGGACATCCCTCTCCTCGGGTTTTCGCTTTGTGTCTCGCATAATTTGGGAAGAAATACACCTACAACATTTTTAGTTGGACAATGTTTTTAGTAGTAGTCTTGCTTAAATATTGTTTTGAATAACATTGACTTTTTCATCATCATAAAGCATAGTTGACTAGAAAGTTAAGGAAACATAGGCGTGCAACATACTTTCCTTAAAAAATAAATAATAAAAAAAAAAAAAACACCCATTTTATATTTTATTAGATGTTTTGACAGTTTTAATCCATTTAAAACGTAGTAGAAGTAAAAAAAATTTAAAAAAAAATAAGTAGAAAGTCAAATATACGTCAACTATAATAATGCTTGAAAATTTCAAACATATTTACATTAATACTATTACTTATTATATATTTTATAGCCAAGCTAAGGAACAATATTGTATGCAAATAATTGTAAAAACGTGATATTTCAATGGCAACATATTCATTTCCTCCAATTATGTCCGATTCCACGAGCTAAAAGCATTTTGTATGTCATATACATAGGTTAATTTGCAACATGTCAATAGTTGACAAATAATATTGTTGTATGTATAGTATATTATCAATTGACAAAGAAATTAGACAATTTTAAGATAGAGTAAATATTACCTTCACCGGCAGCAAGATTGAAGTAAAGATCGATGACATTAGGGCACCTTTGGTAACATTGTGGGGAGCAAAGCTTTTGGGTAAAGCGGGACTCAAGAAGAGAGTCCGAAGAAATCCCTAAGGTATCGCGATCTAAGCCACAAGCTTGAATACAATGGCTAGTCTCAACCAAGTCCTTGAGCTTGTCAGCCTCGATGGCAGATGTAGTACACTTAAATGCCTCCAATCCACTCCTTCGCACATACTTCTCTAGCACACAACGCTTGCCTATAGATGATACCGCGAATGCACATTCCTCCTTATTAAGTTGCTCACATGTTATTCCCCCTAATCAACCACATAAAATTCAAACAAGTAAGATTTTGACAATATAATTAGTTAATTGTATGCATTAACGAAATTTGATAGATTATTACCTAGGGTGCCTTGAACCAAAAGGGAAGAAAAAAGAGCAAGAGTTACAAGGGAGTTAAAAAGAGAGGCCATATTTTGTTATAGAATAATAAGCAATAAAAATCAAAATGTAATTTAATTATATATTGCTCTTCTATAAGATTGTTATAATTTGAAGAATGAATGTTGTAGTTTGTAAATGGTGTGAGATTTACAAAGTATTTATAGATGATTTCATGGAATATACTTGGAAATTATTGGTCTAACAGTGGACCCCATTAAGAGTGTGTGGACTTGCCTAATAATTTTGAAGTTTTTTCATGGAAATTCTTGGTCGAGGACTTCGCCGTCATTAGTGGCCGATTAATTTGTTTTAGTCTTTTTGACACAAAAAGCAGATTGATTATTCATAGGTTTATTATAGTGGATGGAATTGCTTTAGTTGGACACGTAGTAATAAACTCATAATAAAACATTAAAACCCATAATGGGTCATTATTATCGTATAAATAACGTTAATATGAGCTTATTATTGAAAGTTTGAAACTTAATTAACTAAACTAGCTAATGTATTGAAACTTATTTAAGTTAAATCTCCATTTTTTTTAGTAAGGTAAGAAAATCAAAAAGGAAACATTAGGAAACTCACTACATAAGGAGAATTTCTAATGCTTATCTATGTATATAATTAGGTAACTCTTAGCTTTTTATCCCTTAATATTCTTATTATCGTATTATTCGTGTAAGTAATTAAAATGTGTGTAGCTATGTTTCTTCTCATAATCCAAATGTAACTTTGTACATTTTATGGTTCTAGATATAGCTTGGATTGTACACGGTGCAGTACATAAAATGTATTCTATATAAAGTACAGACTATAAAGTACTTATTATAAAAACATGCATGTGTGTAACATTGTATGATCATCTTCATCTTGAAAATTTTATATTGATCTTTTAAAATTTTGTGTATGCATGAACATCATAAATATATAGAATTGTATACAAAGTATTATGTGTATCTTTTTAACAAAAAGAAAAATAACCTCGTTCATATGTTTCCATCATATCGATATCCTCAATTAGTTTTCTTCGTTCTGAACCTTATGAACCCAATAATAAATAGTAAATCGTATGTACTGTATATGTAGTATCAAACTCTAAAAAATTCAAAATCATTGTGTAAAAAAGAACTTTTTCCCATCATTGTAATTTCTAATTTTGTACCCTTTTTTTTTTTTTTTTTTTTTTGAGAAACACGCTAGGAGCACCACTTTTTACCCTTTGTTCTATCAAATTCTTAGGATTATTGTACACTTAAAAGAAAAATTAAAATAGATAACTTGTGACGTAGAGAAATATTTCCTAAAACCACTATTCATACATACGTAGGTAGAATACTACCTCCGGTCCAAATTACTCGCAACTTTAGAATATTTTATATCTCACAAATAATACCCCAAAGTTACGAGTAATTTGGACGGAAGGTATAGTAGTATATAGATATGTAGCCAAATTTGATAATAGTCTTGATAAATTCAACAATTTAGAGTAGGACAATTTAAACTTCGTCATTGTGAAAATATCAAGGGTAGTGACAAATGAGTTACATTCAAAAGACTAGAAATCTTAGCATCCTAGCATGCAAAAAGACGAATTAAGTTACCCAAACGTGATAATTGGTTCATTATTTGACATATTTTATTTAATTGTATCAACTTATTTTTCCACAAACAAGCCAAGCCAAGCCAAGCCAAGCCATTGTCAATGGATGCTCCAAGTGAGGCTTCCTTGAATTGTACTTAGCTTTCTTCCTCAATACCCTGAGGTTTTCTGATCAATCGTCAGTATTAGTCGTAAGTAGTTACGTAGTGTGTGTAAACTTATTTGGTAAATAATTGTTCGTTAATATTTTAGCTATTTTATACAATATTAAGATGTTTTGACTGTGCGTAATTTGATCAACTTAAGGATAAATTTAATGTTCATTCTAAATACCTCCACCAATCAAACACTCACCTTTGTAACGCACTTTATCTTTTGTCTTAAAACTAATGTTAAGCTTAATTATCACCATCAAAATTTTTGTCCACTTCAATTTTTTTTTTATTAAACATTCAAATAAAGGAATTTATTTAATCTTGCAAAATTGCTATTTTAAAGTATTCTATATTCAATGTTGTGTTTAATTAGGTGATTTTTTTTTTGACAAATGTTGTGTTTAGGCGATTAATTATTCAACTTTTGTACAACTCTCTCCAAGCCATCTCTATACAATAGTCAAAAAATTGTGCATTGTCTGAAATTACTAATGGTTGAAAGTGAGAGTGAAGAATAGCTCAAGTGGTTAGAGCTTTCCCCAGCTCCCAATTCCAAGATATTATGGAATCGATTCTCACCCTCACCCTCACCCTTGTGGCTATTAAAAAAAAAGTTTGAAAGCAACTCCAATAATTACTAATTTATCGTGGGTTAAATAATAGGGTGATGAATGTTATTGGGGGGAGAAAATCATTTGTCCCATAATTTGTGTCCCACTGGTGTTCCACTAAATAGGATTGGTTTTTAAAATATTTATTTGCCTTTTAAAATTTGAGAAGTGGAACCTTGTAATTATTACAACCAATAATATTAAGTGGAACACAAATGGAACATGAAAAATGGGACAGAGGATTTAAATGCGTTATTGGGTCGTTCTTTGCTTTGACAAATTGCCATAATATATTTTTAAAAAATTATTTGAAGGGAACGAATAGTTTAATCAACGAATTGTGGAGTTACGCTTTTCATAGTGTGGTAAATATTTTCAATTTTTGGTGAAGTACTCAAGTATAGCCAGACTTTAGAATTTGACTTCATCTCCGTTATTGACGGAGGAGATTAATTTCCAAACAAACGGGAATTTATCATGGATTTGATATTTTCATAACTTTTCCATGGAAAAACAATGGTATCTTTATTAATTAATATTACTTCCTTTAATTTGTTCCTCAAAAAATTTCTAATACCCCATCTCTATTTTATAAAGGTGATTTTTGATTGGCGTAAGAAAATTATGGGAAATGAAAAATGAAAATAATATTACAATAGACTAATGTGTAATAAAGTGAATAAATTTTTTTTATATACCAAAATAAGAATATGTAATATGGTCATATGGAGCATTTTCAAAGAACCAAAGTGGATATTTTGTAAGTCCGTATTGTTTACGTTACGTATCCGAATTTTATTTTCTGGAATATCATAATTTTTTGTTTTTGTTTTTTTTTTTCCGTGAACTCGTGAAGACCACTAATATTTTGTCCCAAATTCAGAAAAAAAAATAAAAAAAATTATGATGTCAATTAAAGGTGGTTAACTAACTAATCGAGAAATTCAGAAATTAAAGCCAATTGCGCTGAAAAGTACACACCACATAACAACAAACTTAAGTTAAGTATGATGGCTTTCCAAAATTAAAGGAAAGTACAAAAGTTGGCAAATTTCCTTTTTATGGTAACAGTATTGACTATTAAGAATTCAAGATTGGTTGTTTAGACCAATAATAAACGAGTATGTTCGTAAATACTCCGTAATTACTGTATAAACTTTCTGATTAATAAACTTAGAAATCTCTAGTACATTATATCAAGAAGGTGAGTTTTCATCATTATTGTAGTTACAAATTAAACTACTGTATTAAATCTAAATGCCTTAGAGCAACAAACTCTGAATAATCTCTCTCTATCTCTTCTCTACCCATTAAAATCTGAGAACTTTGTCAACAAAGCTTAGCAATACTGCAATAGTGATCTGAAATCTGAATCTTAAATCAATAAATTATGCTATTCATAAGCTTTTACATGCAATGCGAATTTCTCTGCTTTCATTTAGCTTCCGTTTGCTTAAGTAATATTCATTAGTTTTTCCATTTTTAGTTTCTTATATGCAGTGGCGGAGCCACAATAGAACAAGCCTATTTTTTTTTTTTTAAAAAAAAATTTAAGATAATTCAATAAAAAGCTATAAATAAATATTCTTACAATAAGTTTTATTATGATGAATATGGTTTGGTGGTAGAGTCTTAGTCAAGTTGAAACCTGTTCTTAGGTTCGATTCCTAACACTACTATTTCTACAGCTATTTCATACTATATTTGTTGATAGTGATTAATGATTATTAATGGGTTACTTCTTTTAAGTGTTCTTAAACTCTAATTTTTTTAAAACATTTTAAATTAATAGATTACTATTAATTAATTGTTTGTTTCTAAGTTTTAAATTTTATTTATACATACAATATACATTAGTCATAATATGATATTTTTGAGAAAGTTGCATTTATATTTTTTGAATGTAACTTAAAGTCGGACCTTCATATCTTAGCTACCACCAATTTTTTAAAATGCTAATTACTACCTCCGTTTTTTTTATGTGCAACTTTTGCCATTTTAGTCCGTTCACTATTATGTGCAACTTTCCTTTTTCATTCTATTTTTGGTAAATAAAAACCCTGAAAATTACAAACTTACCCTTACTTAAAAATTCAGATTTTCTTAATGCTATCCTTATCTTATTTTAATCACAATAACTTTTTTATCTAATCTAAAATCATTAACCTAATTGTACCTTCTCCAAGACTACCTCCCCTCAGAAATTCATTCCCAATTTCTTCATCACCTCAGAAATCCCAAATTCCCCCAAATCTGCCATTTTCTCTCTCCTCTCTTCACTTCTCCTTCAATGGCGTCATCGTCGGTGACCTCCATTTTCTCTCTCCTCCTGATCTCCACCATCCTCTCGGTCGTCTCAACCCGCCCCGGCCTCCTTTTCCACCCCTGCAACACCCTCATCGTTTCCACCTACTCCTCTTTCCTCCCTCAAAACCCTAACTCCGACCTCCCCAACAACCCCCATTTCATCGTCGTCTCCGCCGATCTCCGCCCTCTCCACCACCACCATTTCCGCCACCGTCGTTTCCTCCCTCTCATCGACAAAACCCAGAAACACGAATCCAAACCCGAACCCATCAATGAAAGACCCGAATTCTTGAACGAAAACTGGGTCTCTTGAACGACCCTTTTTCGAATGGTAACGCCTGCAAGTTTGTTCACGGCGCCGGCGGTGGTGGGTTCTCGGATACCGGTGATGATTCCGGCCCAATTGTTGCTCCCTATGACCACCGGCTTTCTCTCTTTCATCTTTGATTTTGAT